TACATATATATATGTGTGTATTCTTTGAGGCACATTAATTATTTACATATATAGTACACACGCACACATACATACATCTTACTTTTTTGAGTAATAGAGAGCGTAATTATTTTGCAAATGTAGAACGTTCTGAAAAATATGGGCATCATAAACTGACATGTACAGTATGTAGCATGCATTAACAATCATTTTATTATTAGTTTCTTTTGTAATTAGTTATAAAGTAAAATTTTAATTAAAAGAGTTATATAAAGATTAATTGAAAAATTATTTTATTTGCGTTACTTATATTGACTTATATTTTCATGTAAAATTCAAATTAAATTAGTAATTGTAAATATTAAATAACGTTCTAATTAAAATAAAACTCAATTTAAAAAAATTAATTGAAGAGTCGTCAGAGAGTTAATTTATATTCCCATATTATCCGTGACATACTACATAGGATACTATTTGTCGTTTGTGTAATACCATATAAAGTCTATTCTGAATTCTACAATAGACGGAAAAAGCTATTTTGTTTTTCTTCCAATATTATTGCTACAATTAATCTTTACAAAAAACATATTATTTAAGACCTAATTTAGCGATTTTAGTGGTTTACGAAAATATCAGTATTATACAAACGATATCTCCATGTATATTTGAGAAGTGGAAAGATATAAATTTGTAAAGTTATTTTTTTTTAATCGTAGAAGAATCATAATCGCATGTTAAATGTAATAAGATTGAAACCTTTTTGTGCACAGTAATATAAATTTTTAATATTTAATTATCAACTTAAACAAAATAAAGTGTTTACACCAATTATATAATGAATTAATTTAAAAATTCTATTCAATATATCATAATTTATACAAATATTTGGCCTATTATAAAAATGTGATTTATACGATAAAAGTAGTGATAGTGAATTCAATAGTCGCTTCCGCTTTTCAAGTACATATTCATTAGAATCGTGCCACTGATCGATCTACCTTTGCCTCAAGAGATAACTTAATGAAATTGGTAGTGGCAACTCTTTCTTTCTCTCTCTTTCATGATCACTAAATTAAGATATCCTACTTTACAACATGCACTTGCAGACAATTCGTTATGGACAGAGTTCCCGCTTTGCGTGGAGAAGGAAATAGTAGTGTTCAAAAGGGAACACTACTATTTCCTTCTCCACGCAAAGCGGGAACACGTACTTCTCGTTCGAGAGAAATCGTAATGAAATTCCTATAAATTACTCAACTTGGTAAAAAAAAAAAAACAATGAAAGTTTTACAGATAGAAATCGTTAGCGTTCAGATCCGATCGGACAAGCTGACATTTCACGAATGCGGATGTTATATTTGTGTAACGATCGAGTTAATTCTAGAATAGCAAATTTTCCTATAGTTCTGTAGACGAGATTGAAAAGTTTCCATATCGAAACAGCTCGATTTGATAAACGCAAAACCATAAAATCCGCGAAATATGTAAGCGTAAAATTTATGAATGTTTTTCGTTAGGCAAAAGGTGAGAACGTATGAAGAATATAAAAGAAAGGGAACACATAAAGAATAAAAACGAATAATTAATTTACATGACGCTACTGTTCCCTATAAATGTAGCAATGGATCATGGAGCGGTCAATATTGCAGTTTAATAGCAAAACTTTGAATAGTAATTTAATGGCTGGAAATATTTCATTTTTCCGCGAAATGAGTTACGTGAAAATATTTTATTGATTGATGGACATTTCTTTAAACAAAATATTTGATATAAATATAAACGCAATATAAATATTAATATATAAATATTAATAAACTGTAAATGAAAATAAAACATAATTAAAATATAAATGCATGTATTATCAGCTGGATTATGTCATCTAAAAAAGAATATAATTAATAATAATACTATATTTATAAATGAGTAAAATTAAAAAAAAAAAGACATTACCCTTTTATGACAAATCTTTAACTATCGACACAAATTTTGCAAATTTCTCATATGAAGAAAATTCATTAATATTAAAAGATTTATAAAAAAATTATTTTATATACAACATCATTTTACATTCTATCAAGTCACGATACTAAAAAATTGTTAGACTTGATTGATCCGCTGTGATAAAAATTTTGAGAACCTTTTGTTATGTTTTAATAACAATAGAACGACAATATCGAATATATCCATCCTTGTTTTTTTTCCATTGATAAATCCAGATACTGAACAAATAGAGCTGAAGAATCATTGAATTTTCTTTTTGAACCAACTAACACAATTGCTTGAAAAGTTTCTAGCTATGTTTGTAAAAATTGCATAAGTTCATTTGCGAGATCAAGAAAGATTTTTGCCAATAAGAGTCTTGGATTCACCAGCATTCCACTTTCAGGAGGTAGTTCGCTCGAAACGATGCTCATGCAACTCGTATTCATTCGCAAACAGCCAGCCAGCTAGCTAGCTAACTAGTCAGCCAAAGCCGGTCGTGGCACGATTCTCGGATGGTTTCAATTCTTTCTCCTGCTCCCTCTCTCTTTTCTCTCATTTCTCTCTCTCTCTCTCTCTCTCTCTCTCTCTTTCTCTCTTTATTTTCATTTCCTTTTTATTCTGCGCAGGCAGGCCTCTACGCAAGACAAACACGCAAGCGACAGAGTGTGCGTGACGTGGGGTGCAGTACCGAGTAGCGTCGTAGCCCTGTCCGCCGGGCAAGGGTGGCGGCGCCCCCGGAGGAAACGGGGATCGCGGGGGACCAGACGGCGGACGCCCCGGTGGTTTCACGCCGTAAAGGCTGTACGATTCCTCCAACAGCTCCGTATCGCTGCACCACCCACAACAGACATACACATCCGCGCTATCAGACATCCGTGTGGAGGAGGTCACAGTGCGAAGACCAGCGTCAGTGGGGACTAGAGGGTGGGTTTCAGTCATTCGGGATGGGTGAGACCGGAAACAACATTTTCCTAGGAAACAGGTTGCGAACTAGAAAGACGGGCCGGATCGGGGTTTCCGGATAAGTGGAGTTTTATTCAAACGGATTGTACAGAGTCGCTGTATTTACACGGATAGATGTGCTGGATCTCTTATTAAAGAAGCTATATGTAACAAATTAGTTCGTGCATTTATGCCCAGTCAATAATTTTTTGTCGAGGCAAAAAATACATTGTCGGCATTGGACCATCGTGCGGCGCAATAACATTATATAACCGGTTATTTAATAAATTCAATCAGTTCTGGGGTATTTCAGCAGAGAGAAAATAAATGTATATCTATTCTGCGTAAAATGAAATATTGACGCTAATACATAAAATGAATGAAATGAATTTCCATGTAATGAAGTAGTTTACGTTCTATATATCGTCGCATTCAAATAGTTACTCTTCTCCTATTAAACTTTATATGTACAGTAATATAAACCAGATTTTTTACATTGTCCTTTCGATAATAAATTCATCCGTTTATTTTTTTCAAATTAATTTAATTTTAAAAGTTCAATCAACAGCGCAGCATAAAAATTTAAGTGTATCACAATTTTATCGAATTTGATTTCCAGTCAGTGTATAATTAAATAAAAAGTGAAATTTTTCTATCATTTGCATTTTTAGAATTTAATTATCGAAGATCTTTAAGTTTTTAAATCGTTCATCTGTTAGGAATTCCCGATGTAATTTTAATGAATGAGGACTAATTGTCAGAGAAATTTGCAGGTAAAGAAATCGTGGAAGTTTGGGATCTCATCTCTTTGTTCCGAGACATAAAAAATTTCGTTAATTATAGCCGTTACAGAAATTTAATACTGACCAATTTAATACTAAAAGACAGTGATTAATTACTTATTTCAAATATTTAAATGCACTCAACACACACAAAGAATCAAGTTACATTAATTGGAATGGTGGAAAATGGACAAATTAGAGTTTTTTCTGATTAAATCCATTAGAATTCTAGTCTAGATAACCAGAATTATAATGATCAGAATTCTGATTGATGTAGTCAAAATATGTTAGTTCGTTCATTTTAATCACAAATTTTTCTCAGTGCAACGATATTTTTAATTCTCAATGTAAGTAATTAATCGTTACCTTTCAGTGTTCAATTTCTATAAGGAAGTCATATCACACTGTGCCTTTTCGACATTACAAATGCGAGTCGCTTTTACTGCGCGAGATTCTGATTACCTGGCTTCTTCGTCGATGACAGGCGTAACAGTCCCCGAGTATTGCGAATAATACGGATCTTCGTAGCTGCTGCCGGCGCTGTAAGGTCCGGGTGGATATCTTCCGCTTCCGGAACCAACGCCGCCGCCGCGCTCGGGGCTGCTCATGTATCCGCTTTCCCCATGTAGCCGATCTGCAGAGATTTAGTGATTCATGTATTAGTGAAGACCAACGTGGAGAGCACCATCAACGTTTTCTTTTTGCAACTGCGTTGCATTTTTGCATTGGACTGCTTGGAGAATAATAATCCGTTATTATGTAAACAGAGAGATTTATGTTCGTTTCTGTCAATGTAAATTTAGTTTTAATCTCGGTCTATTTAATTTATTTTTTATCCTTTTCTAATTCTCAGAAGTAAAAAAAGATAAAAAATAAATTAAACCGAGATTAAAATTAATCTACACTGATAGAAGTGGACATTCTAATGATATTCACGTGATGTCATTAGAAATTGAACAATAACAATTAACCTTAGAACGCTATCAATATTGAATGATACAGATTGCTCTTGATACGTAAATTTTATATGCAAGGAACTATACTGTTTTGAATTAATGTAACATAAGATTTTCATATATTTCATTTCACTTTTGACAAAATATTTAGACCTTTATATACAAACACAAATAATTTAATTATTAACTTAAAGGGAAAGGAAGAATAAATATACTATTAAATTCAATCTTGAAATGATATGAAGTATAAATCCAACGTCTTCTCAACACATCAATAAATTAATTATATAATAACACAAAATTGCTTAAAAATTTAAATCTATTACTTTAACTTATCGCGCTCTTTGTTAGAAAAACAAACTGAATTTTTAAAAGCATATCCCCGCTTGACAGATTGAACCTCCTCATGACTAAATTTTTCGAACATCAAAATCTTTAAATCGAATATAGATTAGTCAATTAGTCGCGATCACAATTTTTTATCTCAATATGTGATAGCCAATTAGATCATATCCTTCCATGATAAATCTCTGATTTTCTAAGACTATTCATGACCACCGAAGGCGTAACTTAACGTTCAATGACTTTGTTCACTTATACATAAAATTTACATACGATAGCATTCCAGAGTTAAACAAGTGGGAAAGATATCAAAAGTAAAATATTATTTCTTAAACAATAATCAATCAAAAAACCAAACATATGTCTTAATAAACGACTACAGTCAACAAATGATTGGTAAACAAAACAAAATCAGCAGTTATTTGATTAAAACTCGATGATAAAGAATTCATACGCTTGTTCTACTTGTTCTACAATGTTCCTTGTGTTTTTCAAGAGAATTTTTTTTATGATTGTTATCATCTATTTGTGGCTCGATACCTCCGTCGAGTATGAGTTTCATGGTGCGCGAAATGTGCAAATGAAATTACAATCAGGAAACTGTATCTCGACGAGGGAACGTCATTTATATCAGTCATTATGATGTGGAGAGGATAAGAAAAAAGATCTTTCACGATCGTGCTTCTTACGGGAGGGCATACAGCTACAGTTCTCGAGTGACAGAGGGAGCGGATGAAAAATGAGATGAAAGAGATGCTGCTTTTCGGACATGATGATATCACACAGCGTTGTACAAGGGAAATGACATACGTAGGATGTTTCTAGATGTTCATGAGGGATTTAGCTTTAGTGTTGGGAATATGTAAAATCACGTAATTTTGTAATGGCTCTACAATACGTAAAATCGCGTAATTTTGTAATGGCTCTGCACTTTCTACGTATCTTATGTTATATATTATATAACCATTAATTAATTTAATTACGAACAAAATTACTAACGATAATATGGTTTAATATTATGATAATGTAATTTCCTTTTGCGTTTATATTTGCATTAAATTAAAACACTTCAAGATTTGGTCATCGTACATTAAATAAAATAAAGAAATTAAATTATTAGACGCTAAATATTTTTACAAATTATGATTGACAAAAAATAAAAGGCGAATAAAAGTGAATAATTCATTATATAAAATTTTAACTTTTTCAAATCAATTTTCGAGGTAGTTTTACAATATTTAAGAAAGTTTTAGTTTTCCTTCCTCGCGCGACATGTCAACGGCATAAATTTCACGCAAATTCAAAACATTTCGATTCCATTCATATTTATTCCCAACACTATTTCCACGGTCTCGAGGTCGTTTAATTAAAACTTGACTCGACTCGATTTGGTTAATCGCTACTGCCAATTTCATAATTTTTCTGCGTTCCAAACAACCAACCATTTCTATGGTTCAGTTTCTCCTTATTAAAAATACGCCACATTTGCTACATTTTTTGTCACATCTGTTACACTTGAAATTTATTAGTCCTTTGCTCATAGTTTGTACCATTATGCTTCGCCCAACGGCTTTCTTCCGTAAAAAATATAAAAAGATTTCTTGTTCACGATGTACACGTTTATTAATTTCGGACAGACGAAGATTAGCTTGCGATCTTAAAAGGACTTATGTATATCAAGTCTGCCGAGATTTATCTACCGCTTGGATTATCACCGCTGTAGAAACAACGATAAATAACGTTATTATTTTTCGCGGGCAGCTTCTGCATTATAATTGAATTCTACATATTTCATTTCATATACGCAACCGATTGTGCCGTACAAAATTTACAAGGCTTACGGTATCTCTCTTTGTATCAGAATAAATGACATAAAAATTGTTAATTGGAAACCGTATAAAAAGTGAGCGGTATGAATTGCTAAAAATGTTTTATACAATTTATATTTACGAGTATATATAAAAAAAAGATTTTTTGCAGTGTTTTAAAATATTTATTAATATCCTTATCAAATTGACGGTCAATTTCATTATTATATTATTTTAACTTCTATTTATAATTGTTTTTAAGTCTGACATCTTAAATAATTGGCGCGCAATTCATATATGAATAACTAGAAAATGTATTAATTTAAGACTTATATATAAAATATTATTAAATACTAAGATCTAGCCTCAACTATATTTAGCACTTTTTTAATTGTGCCTTTTTAGTAATTTAGTTGTAAGCATGTGATTTGAGCTGTAAGTTATGTATTTACTAGAACACTGTTAATAGAATTGAGAAGTAACTCGTTACTTGTAACAAAATTACAATTAGAATTACTTTTTTTCAGTAGCTATAACTCAATTTCGTTTCTTTCTCTCCATCTATAACTGTAACTTAACTTATATACATTTTAACTAGTAACTAATTTAATACTTAATATTAAATATAAATAGTTACTTTATATAAAACTTATTCCTCAAACAAATGTCTAAAATAAAATGCTTAGTCAATAATAATTCTTTATGATTAAAATACATTTTTGTCCTTGATAAAAAATAATCTGTAAATATTTATATTAAGAATTAAATTAAGAGCCTTCTAGTGAAGACAATTTAATATTAATTCTATAATTTATAATAATTAATACTTCAATTTATAATTTACTTTGATTCCAAATGTATATATTATTTTATTATGTCTAATATATTATGTAAGTAAATATAAGTGAAATAATTCAATAATATTAGAAATGTATAAGATTCTTGTATTTAAGATGAAAATATAACCTGACCTAACAAAAAACTAAATGAAAAGAAATAATTTATTACTTTTTAAGTAATTACAATTTACAAATATAACAAGTAATTAGTTAATAAGAATTTTTTAAGAGAAAAAAACTATAATATTGTAACTCGTTACTTTTACGAAGTAACTTTCTCAATCCTGGTTATTAGTAATATTAGTAATCAGCAGTCTACTTGGTAATATACAATACTTCATGGACGATTTTAAGTAGAAATATTTCTTGTATCGTATATATATGTATTTCGTCGTATACATAATTCATTCAACGGACATTTTACTTTTGTTAAAACACACATACATTTACAGTCGCTTTTGTTGCAGTGTAGCTCAAAGAAGGTGTTATAGCTTGGCACGTGAGCTTCAGACATCAAGGATCAGTCCGAGACATCCGTAAAGCGTGTTATTGGCGATCGTCCCGCGATCGCGGCCCGTCGCGGAAGGATCGAGCTGTGTCTGACGAATGTTTAAGGATACTACTGACCTGGTATACTATAGAGGGAGACCGAGCTGTCTCTAGAGAAGCGCGCCGAGCCCCCGAGGCTTCCAAGGGGACTCTTACCACACTGGTAGCTGCGAAGCGGCTTGGCCGGCGGCACCCCGCCAACACCTCCTATCCAACCATCCAAAAAACCAAACAAAAACCAATGTACCCAGGTGCTCCGATGTACGTATCTCCTGTTTCACCGCCACCCTCCGCTAAGCCGTTCGACGTTCAGTGCACATGCAGAAGTGAACAAGACCGGAGTACCGTGATCCGCGCGGCAGTCGGACCATTTTTCTCACCGCGGATTTCGTGTGCCACATCCAATTGAAATTCACATAGCGTGTCTACACAGACGTTCGATACTTCCGAAACGTGAATACAACCGACTCGAGTAGGGCCGCGATAACATTCCTAAGTAGCGATTGCGCGCGATTTGTGACAAGGGAGACTGGAAAGCTTTCGAGTGAAAAAGCGCGATGGTAGAATTTGTATAGTTTACGTTTCTTACAAGGGGACCTCACAAAATGTCAAATTTTGATTTTAATGAAATTTTGTATACATATATAGGTTACATAAATAGATGAATATTCAATCGCGAATAGATGAAAATATCAATCGCGGCTAATAAATACTTTTAAGAAATGAAATCATCTCTTATACATGAAGCGGATTCTAACTTCTTTTTATTCTATCTCAAAAAGTGTTCAAGGTATCAAAAAATGTTTATAAGATGTAACAAAAAAAGTTATATAGCGGAATATATAAGAGGTGATTTCCTTAATCTTCCTAATATCATTAGCTTCTGGTATTTTCTAAATTTATTTATTTATGTAACCTACGTGCACAAAGTCTCATTAAAATTAGAATTTGATACCTCGCGAAGCTTCCTTGTTAGAAATGTTTCGACGATCGTCACGCAGGTTTGCACTACGAGTTTAAATATAATCGCGCGATTACGAACGTCGTCGAAATTTTGACGTAACACAGCTTGTCGACTTTTACATGCACTTCTCGACCACGTCACGATAATCGTAGCGTCAAGAGAAATGTCTTCTTTAGAAAATGCTTCCGTTTAACCTTTTTTTTCTTGGCTGACAGCATTTAGCAGACGTTCGCGTGTTTTACTATACAAAATAGATCTGCCTCGTCATAGTTGATGATTAATCACGATCGATCTGCGTCTGGGCGCAACGATTGGGCTATTCACGCGTCCTAAATTCGTTTCTCTCGGTATCTCCGTGTAAAACGTTTCTCTCGACAACAAGGAGAACGCTCGTGGCAGCCAGAAATGAGGCCATCCTTTCCCCTTGGACTAGCAGGTAGCCTGTTAAGTGTTTTTGAGTAGTTCTCGAATAGCGCTCGGCCAAACGCCGACGGTCGTAACGATCTCCGTTGTACGATTAAGAATCGAAACGACCTTGCAACCGTCGATCGGAAGTATGAAGAATGAAGAGTGCGATTGCGAGTATGTGTGCGGATATATGCGCTTAAGCTCAAAGCACGAGGTACGCGTTTGAAAAAATTGGTCGAGTTTCAGGAAGATTTCAAGAGAAAAGTCCGCTAAATTGTGAACAATCGTTAATCGTTTTCTCGTTCTCATCAATCTTTCTTTGTCAGCCAATTAAATCGCGAAGATAACAATCTTGAAATACAATTTGAAATACCAGAGCTTGTAATATAGCAAGTGAATTTTGATTTCACCTGGAATAACATTTACTGTCATTTACATACATTACAGTTTTCAAAGGCAAAAAATTGAAGAGCAATTGTTATATAAATTCAAATAAATATAACTGTATCTATAATATTATTGACAATGTATGTAATTTAATTTAAAGAAATGATAACTAGTTAACTTAACTATTGGTTGTATTAAAATGTAAAAGTTATTCCAGATTATAAAGCCGAGTGAATATATAATATAATCCTCACCAATATCTTAGTTTTCTGTTACTTATATATATATAATTATATGATTATACTGTAAATTGCATGAACTAATTGCAGTCACTCAATCGATTGAACAGTTGCTTCGACCAATTTTCAGCAAAACGATAAAAGATTCATATTTCTTTATATATCGCGTACAGATATTGGAATCATCGACGAACAATTTAAGCGTTGTTGCAAAGGCGACCAGAATTTTACAATGTCCATATAAAATCTGTCTTGTACTCGAATAAAATGTAACTTTATCAAATAATAAGAAGAAAAAAAAACATTTACTGATATCTAGCTTTTCAATCCTTGTAATTCCTTCTCAGTGAAGAAAAATCCTTTTAAAGAAGTCGAATTCGAATTCTTACTCCAATTAGCTGAATTTTTCATGAATTTTGCAAAATCTTTTTATTTTACAATTTTCAAAGTAGGGCACAATACATATTACGCTTGCGTCTCATCGATTTCTCAAAATCAGAGAAAATTTTGGGATTCTAGATTCGTAATGTTGTTTGCAGAAGACTTCTGGTCACCTTAGATAGAGTATTTGAGGGAATGCGAAATTACGCGGGGCGTGGTATAATATGTTTGCATAGATCTCATGAGAAGGAATAGTGTACTACGACAGAGAACATCGGTGCAGGCGTGAAGGAAATGCACAGGCGCATGAAGCGGTAAATTCCCATTGAGAGCGGCCCAAAGTTGTCGCTCTGTAATCTCTTCAAAAATACGTGCAACATCTTGCTCATTACTAACAGCTCCATCGCGAATATATAATTCAAAGGGGAATATATATTCTACAAATTAAATTAATTTCTGTCTAATTCCGTATACAATCATTAATTGCAACAGTTAATTATAATCTGTTTAGAGTAAAGCTGTAAAGTAATTAAACATTATTCCAATTAAGTTATAAATTTTCAAGTGCTCACTTCAAATTTGACGCGAGGAATTTTCTGGTTTACAATCGACAATAAATGTCACGTGTTGTATAAACGGCACAGTAGTGTCAGGAATTTAGCAAAAATATGATATTTCGAGCTTTGTTGGGCCGCTCGTTTGATGAATCGTGTCGATAGGGTCTCGAGAGCAAAACTCGTGTTTATACACAACGCGCGTGCACGATGACACGCACGTGGAAACGAGAAAAAGAAAATCGAAAATGCGGACATTCGTATACCTGGTGTGGTGAGAGTCTTGGGCTGCGTCGGGGTCGCGCTTGGACCGACGCTCGACGCCGCCGGGCTGTACGCCCTTAGAAGAGGGCCACCGCGAGGCAGGGTGCTGCTTCCGCCCACATAGTATCCGCTGCCGGACGTCGAGTTCTTGGCCGTCTGCAATCAGAAAGGTACTTGTCAGAAAGTATAATTTGGGTCACGCGCCAGTAATTCGAAGGCCGAGGAATCGCGGTTATTTTTCACGCCGATCAAGACTAGCAATGAACCTAATTGACGTATGGCGTAACAAATGTCGGACTCTGTCGATTAAAGGGCGATATGGTAATTGTGGTAACCACGGCAAGCACGTACTAATTGCGTGGAGTTGCGAGACTTTCCTTATAATTAATTGCCGATTCTCGTTTAGGTATTATAACATTTGCAAACAAATTCTTCAACGAGATTGTTCGGGATTGTTATCTTGTCGAGATAGTCTTGTCCATGTACAAGCGTCTTCCGACTGTCGCTTTCGCAACTGATTTTAAGACTCGGCGTTGTTAACGTTCGCGCTTTCCACCGCGAATTTCCAACACGGTTTTTATGATCGTTTTAACGCACACTATCCATATATGTGTTATCTTCACACGTACGAATTTTGATGTATGACGGTTTTAACTTGAACATTAAACAATTTATGTTAAAACATTTCAAATGTCCCAAACAGCCCACTTAAATTTTCATGTTAGACGTAGAATGAATATATTAGAAAGTAGCATAAATATTATGTAAAAAATTAACATAAAAACGTAACACTGACACAATTTGTAGGGAAAATAATATCTCTTCATTAAAATTAACATTTATGTGTTAAATTAACACATTTTATTCATTTATCTTAATATTTACGTTTTAAAATACATTATTTTTATATTATTTGATCTTATTCAGAAATTATGTTATTCCAACACTAAGAAATATATTGAATAACAATTTAACATAGAATAATAAAATATTACAATCACGTTATGCTAAAATAACACCCGGATATTTAAAAAATTCAACAAAGACTGAGTAAACTAGTTTTAACACAAATATTATAAATTTAAATGAAAAGAATGATAACAAAATTCGTTATACATGCTTTTATCTTTTCGAGTAAAATATACAATATTTTTAAATGCAAAATCGACGATGCAGAGCCTTGAATCTTTCTGTTTAGCTCCGAAATGCTCGATACGCTTCGAAATATTTATACGCGCAATAAAGCGTTTGTAATTCCGCTCCCGCTTGCAACATGGAATGCCTAAGTTATTCGCCGTATCATCCCGTTTGTTTCGCGCTGCTTGTCTCGCCAACTTTCCACGAAAGATTCACTTTCCCATATCGATCACACAGACTGCATGACACATACAGAATATACGATTAGCGATCCCGCATAAGGTTTTAAAACGGTTAATAAAATGAAGCTGTTTCTCTCGCATATTACAATCAAATTGGCGTGACGAAACGTAGTCAATAAATTCTTTAACGCGACCGCAATTTATTCATCTTGCCAGTGTATTAAATTGTTGAAAAAAACCGCAGAGTGTAAAAATATCTCAAAATCTTTATTTCGAAAGTAAAAAGAATTTACATAATTGTAAATATATTTCCTCATATCCGCACTTCTTCATATTTCTTCATTATGTGCAATTGTCAGACCGACAATTTTTCTTTGTTTTCGTTATCTCGTTTATATCGAAAATCGATCATGACAAATACAGTAGTTACATTGCGAAAAAATTCTGATTGAAAATAAACGAACCAGTAGATTCTGATCATATCAATCAGAATTCTAGTCGAGATAATCAGATGTCCAATTACGTGACCGGAATTTTGTTTAATATAATCTGGTTCGTATATTTTCAATCAAATGTTTTTCTCGGTGAACTACATTTTCTAACACAACCGCGATTTACATCGCTATTATGTTGTATTAAATTGTTCAAAAAAATTGGAGAATGCATATGTAGCAGACTACGTGACACATAGGGAACATATTTATGATTAGCGATCCCGCATAAGGCAACCGTTCTAAAACGGTTAATAAAATGAACCTGTTTCTCTTGCATATTATGTCGGAGTTAGCGTGGCGAAACGTAATTTATAAATTTTTGAACATGACCGCGTTTATACTATTCTTACGATTGTATTAAATTGTTGTTGAAAACACCGGAAAAAACACATTATTCCACATAAAACCTTTCCATTTTAGAAGTAAAAAACATGACGTAATCGTAAGTATACGTCTTCATATCCGCATTTCTTTATATTTCTTCATTATTTGCAATTGTTGGACAATTTTTCTTTATTTTCGTTATCCCGCTTGTATTAGAAATCGATCGTGACGCGCGGTAGCCATAAAATTCTCTAACACAACAAATTTATAGATATTTATACCACAGTCTACGAAAATATTGGTATATCACAGTCAAAAGTATTATTAACTATTATTTTATCTGAAAAATTGATTTATGCGTATTTTGCTAAATTATCCTTCGTTTCAAGAACTCTTTAAATTTTATAATGTCGGTAATGAATAGGGAAGAATACAAGTAAATTCCACATAATCGAAAAAGATATAAACGCTTAATACTTTTAGCCAAGATATTATTTTACCTCTATTTCGCAAACAAAAAGCATCCATTGTAAATATATTTCTTCATATCTACATTTCTTCATATTTCTTCATTATATATATCTGCAATTGTCGGCAATTTTTCTTTGTTTTCGTTATGCTGCCTGTATCAGAAATCGATCGTGACAAACGCGGTGGTAAATACAATGGGAAATAAGTGTGAATAGGTCTGATATACAGATATACATCAGGCAAAGAAGAAACGATCGGGCACGCATTCCAATACGGACATTCTGATATGGGCGTTCGATCCGTAGGAACTGTAGGCAATCTCCAGCTCCGTAGTCTATTCTCATTCGTATCGAGATGAAAATTACATGTCGAGCCCAATGACGAAAATGGACTGCTTTAACCTGCGGCCGCCACGAAAAGTCCCTCCCTCTTACCGATTCTTACTCGCGCGCTAGCACTCGGCCGATTCACATCGATTTCGCTTTAGTCGTTGTTTACCGTCGCCGCGAGTTCAGCTAGCCGCCTCACTCGCCGGGTGAATCGCCTGGAAGAAATAGAAGTCTATCGGACATAGGAGAGAATTGAATTGAGAATTTAATTAATGGGGAGTGGTTTTCCAAGGAACGATTGTATCTAAAAATCTACAAAAAAAAAACACAGGAAAGTTGAAAAGAAAGGAGAGAAAGACTCTAAAAGAACTACATTTTTCTCTCCAAAGGAGATTATTTAGTTTTGAGGCGAGACTCACGTGCGACCCTTCTTTTTGGCAAACGAGAAACAGCTCGGCAACAAGATGAAAGGAAAATAACAACTTGTTGGCCAGGCGTTAATCATACATCGAATAAAAGAAAAGAAAAAACGACAAATATTCTTCCACTCCTTTTATACGTCTACAAAGAGGGTGAGAAGATGTACAAGAAAAAGTCTACGGCTGCTGCAGAGTCTTTTTCACTAGACTTTTAATTATAAAGATCATCAAGTAAGGACCGAGAGATATCTGTCGAGACCGTGTGAAAGAAAAGAAGACCATGAGTCTTGTGCTTTTAGCCAAAGGTGTCGCACATCGAGCAAAGAGGATATAGGCAATGAGATCTCTTTTGGTTTCTCGACAATCGGGTCGAGTGTACTAAGAAGAAAGTATACACGACAACGAGTTTAGTTTCTTGCTCGTGTCGTCAAGCGCAAACAAAAAGAAAAATCCAGAGACGAAGTCTGTATTGAGGGACAGAAAATCCGCGTGTCGTTGTTCTGATCGAGAAAAGTGTCACTTGGCGAGTGACAAGTGAGATAAGGTCACGAAAGGTTGCGAAAAAGGTCACGAAAAAGAGTTTGCGAAGCAGAGGGACCAATTGTAAAAAATCGACAAGGGCAAGCTGTGAAGAAAGATCGACGAACGGGGCGGAGATGCTAGGTAGTTTTCTACGGTTTGAACAGAAAGACGGTAGACGAGAGGACGAGGGAAATTGCAGCGTCGCATGTTCCCTCTTCAGCGGCTGAAAAAGGGATACCGACAGGCAAGATTGGCAAGAAGAGTCGAGAGGACAACGTTGGGAGACAATTCTCTTTTCGTGATCGCGATCAGATAGTCGCGGGATAAGATTAAAGGGAGAAAAGGCCAGAGTGGGCCAAGGAAACGAAAAGAGAGAGAAAGAGGAATCTCTCTCTCTCTCTCTCTCTCTCTCTCTCTCTCTTTAGAGTAAAGATACGAAGAAGGAGAAGAAGCAACAGCCGTAAGAAGCAAACAGCGAACTTTCGCTGCGAAGCAATTGGAGAAATAGCAACTAGATGCAACGAGGACGATGATCAGATAAAAATGAAGAAATTCGTGACGAACTTCGGGAGTCTCCCTTCCATGTCCTTGATTCTTCTGAGCTTACTCGTTGTGGCGGTTTCGAAAACATCGACCGAACTTGTCGGCGCCGAGAGAAATCTCGGCGGTACGCCGATGCACAGCGTACAATTAACGCAAAAGGGCTACATTCAGGTGAGAATCGCGTATAATTCATAAGGAAAGCCGGATTTTCAGCCCCTTCTGTTTGACTTACATTAAAAGCACGAGACAATCTCGTTTAATCCTTAGCAAATTATTATTTCTCACACCATGCGAATTAATAGGAAGATTAAGTAGGTATATTTCGTTTTTAACTTCATCTAAGTTTAACTTCAGCTAGTTTAACAGGAATAAAAAAATGTTTATTACTTGAAGGAATTTATAGAGATTCGTCGAAAATATCGAAAAGGACGATATCGTCAAAGTGTGTAAAAATTTAACTAACTATAAATCTGAACGTAATTTTATTATTACGATAATATTGTCGCATGTCTTGGTAATCGAATTGGTAAGACGCGGAATATGGAAGGTCCGAATCTTGGCTGAGGTAATAGTTTTCGCAATAAGTTCTTTACAGGTTTTAAGATGCTGGTAGCATAAAATCGACGATCCAATTTAATTTTGGAGAATTATTATTATTTTAGTTTAATGTTACAAATCTGAAAGTAATCAGTCATGTTTCTGATAATTATGTAGAACGTTCAAGTTAATTGCTAA